TCTTAAAAAATAAAATAAAACTATAAACTATATTTCTATATACAATCTCAAATCTCTTATGTACATATTTACATAATAAAACCTATCGTACATCACATGTTGGGCTAACGTGGGAGCTAGAATACCTCATGTGCGTCTGTGATAGGTAGTGGACCACTGGATACCACATCCACTCCATAACTTATCCAGTTGTGCACTGCCTGCTACAGCCAGCACATGGGCAATTCTAGCTCTCAAGTCGACTTCAAGTAGAAATTACGTGACCTTGGCTGACAAAGGTTAAAAAAAGTAAATGAACAGTGATGCAACAAGAAAGTACCTATTTACACAAAGTTAGAATGGCAACCATTGGAACAAGAAAATATTAGTGTACTATTCTTATCTTTTAAACTTATTAAACGAAGATAAGGAGTAAGTTAAAGGTGAAGGTGTGCGATTGCACGCAGGCCGATGTGGCCCACAAAGTAAGGCTGCTCCTATTGTCGCCGTCGGCACAAGGAGGAGGTTGTGTGGTCGCCTTGAACTCCCCAAAGATCCTGGTACTCACTTGAAAGGAAGCTGTGTCCTAAATGGAAATCACCAGATAATCCCAACCTAGGCCGGGACTCGAACCTTTGTCCTTAAGGTCAGGAAGCCAGACCTACCACTGAGTTAACGCGGCTCCACGAAGATAAGAAGTTGATTATTTTAATCTATAGGATAACAAAGTGAGAACATCGTGTCAATGAAATATATTGCACATTTTTTATAATATTCTGATTCTTGAAAAACATTACAGAAATGGTTTCGTTTGCACTTAAAATAATTAAATGCAAACTTGGTTGAATGTATTACATTAGAATCATTTATTAGTATATTTTTACAAAAATGACTTCAAACGAACTGCAATCAGTTTCTTCACGTTCCGTTTTCAAAGCAATAGTCTTAACAATGCGACAATTTTATAAATAATTGCTCTTAGTGTATATCACAAATTCAATATTTTAAAATACTCATTGAGAATTTATTGCTTACACTTCCAGCAACCAAAATCCGCTCAGGGAACTGATGTGGCTCGTTGACGTTTTGATTCGACTGAAACAAGAGAAATTCAAATGTGCAAGTGCATAGCGTTTATAAATTATACCTCAACGAGAGGAAGGGGGAAGTGTAGGTAAAATGAAAAAGACTTTTTGTAAACATACATAAACAAATTAAAAATTTATTCCTCGCAGTTGGATACACATAAATACAAAGCTATTATAAAATAAATTACCGGCCTTCAGGCGCTCCAGGTACTCTTACGCTACAAGTTATTGCACATTGTGCTGAGTGTTGATGTGGTATACAGGATGCCGTTTAACTCCGTGCTTCAGTGCCGTTGAGGCAAAGCCACGATCGCCCTATAGCGCACGCAGAGGCATCTGCTACCATTTGACATGGTACAAAGAGAGGGTTTTCCAAATCGAACCATAAGCCGACTTATAGCTGGGATTGCGCAGAAAGTCTCGTAAATAAAATGGCGGAAAAACTATTTTTAAAATTTCATTGCCTTCGCAATTTCTTGTAAATCATAAGCATATTCTTGTTCTCAAAGATTAATTTTAACTTCGTCGAAAATAAAAATAAAATAATAATAATAATAATAATAATAATAATAATAATAATAATAATAATAATAATAAACAAATAAGGTGGTAGATCAGAGAATGCAAAAATGTGAGATAACACATTTAGAAGTTAGTCCATGATCAAAGCATTAAATTTTAAATATTATTTCGCTACAACTTTTCGTATGATTTCAATGGTACTTTGGCTTTCTAATATGCAATTATATACCCTTTCTTTGTAGCATGATTTATCAACTTACTGACAGGATAACTTCATTTACAAAGGAAAAAAGATGATACATAGAAGAGTAGTCGATGTTTCCTCTTTTTAAAAACTACTAAGCTTCTACCTCGTTGATTCTGTACTATTGGTGTCTTGGAAGAAACTAGCAGTTATTGGCTGCTTTTTTCAAACTCTTGCTTCTCTCCTTTGTTTTATACAATTGCGTAGGCTATAGGAGTCCTTGGCAATTAATAAATCTCTTCATCACAACCTCACCATCACACCCCCTCAGTATTACACGTCATTAAATCTAAATGTTTCCCATTTCATGGTAACACAAATGAACAGACACTCGCAAAAGACACTCATGACGATTCGCACCTGTTTCAAATGCGAATACAGTCATGAAATAAAATTATATTTCTATATACAATCTAAAATATCCTTATCTATATAATCAGTTTTACTCTTATATTCCTATCCTCTGCAAAAATTGTACATGTAAAGTGGCATTGTGGTGTTGTATTTTCTTATTTTGAAGTAATGAAATTATTAAAGAAGAATAATTATCATTATTATTTTGAAATTGTATTCTAAAAAATTCAACAACGAAATATAATTAAGTTTTTGTTAATTGAAATTAAAATATACATAACTAAGAATTTGTAAATAGAAAATATGAGCAATACTCCAGTTTTAAGTATTGTCCCTTCTGAAACTCTATTACTGGCACTTCAGATCCTTCTCCCCTGAGTTTAAATTCTGTGATATTGGTTCTCGCATATTATTTATCTTCTGTTGGGTATTCTGCCAAAAAGTGAATGCTACTAAAAGCCAACTTGCCTTTGCCCAACTGTGAATTTCTGGAACCTTCTGCCAGCAGAAACTGAACGTGAATATTGATGATGTTTTGCAGTGGCAACTGGACCGTATCAATCTTTCTAGATAGTGCAATCACGACTTTCACCTAGTCTGTGTGAAACATTTTTGCAGTCTTCCACTTTTTACATGCGCAAAAATAAACTACGTTTCTTCAGGGTTGAGAGATTTCAACCAACAATAACAAAAAGAAACATGCTGCAAGATAACAAAAATAAAAGTGAAGGAAGACTCACACTTCGTAAAGGTCCCGTAGTCGTAAGATAATTTACCCACGAAAAATGAATTCAACTAAAACATACTATACCCACACACAAGTAGATTTTACGACACATATTTTCGCACACTTACCGAAACAAGGCTCTTTCCAATACCCAGAAATGGCAACTGTGATAGGTACATCACATGTTCGAAGACACGAAAGTACAACAGTAGCCCATAAGTGGTTGTGCTGGCAATTCGGTAATGTAAATGTAATTATGCCAACCCTCATAGAAAGAAGAAGCCAGGGACCGGCGACTAGGTATTCTCCATTTCTCAACAGTTTTCATTAAAAATAAACGACCAAGAACGGGTTATAACGAGTCATAAGGGATAAAAAAGTGGCTGTTAAAACTTTCGAATGAAATTTCGAGCGCATATTTTTCTTTTTTAATTGAGAACCATGAAGCACAAAAGCGCTTGTTTTCTTTTTTCGAATAATGTTACTGAAGTACATACATTGATGAAAACAAATGAAACTACTGTTTTGAACCAACCAATTCATGACATCATGATTACTCGGAGACCACATTGAGGGGTTTTTGTTCTCTTTTGCTTATTCAAGTTATGGTTATATTAATAACATTTACAACATCATTTAGAGCAGATATTCTTGCTTTCGTCCATATGAGCTTGTGTATGATAACACTGACTGCAGTATGATGATTTATTTCATGTAACTACAGATGAACGTCAATTTTTCAGAACTTATAACATGAATATCTTGTTGTTTCCCTTTCCACACACAGAGCTCGGCAAATTCACCATTCTTATTGCGAATATTTCAGAATTGTCTTTTTCCTCTCATAGATATTGAGGTTACTGTATGGTTCCCTTTTCAAGCAACTGCCTAACGAAATTTTCAGCCTCGGGGTCGTTAAGACATTGTTGATGTGATGACAGTATATACCTGACTGAGAGCTAGCAGCGGTCTAATTATCTTTAAAAAGGACTGGAGACTCTTGGGACAGGGAAACCATCTAGGATAGAAAACAAATGTGGCGTCACACACGAACACTAAATATGTTACGAATGAATGCGTAATGTGTTGTGATTATTTTTGGATATATTTAAAAAGATATTGAAAAGTAAGCCTTTATATTGAGATACGTATTTTTGTTTACAGTTTAAGTTAGACATAATTTTGCTGTAAATAAAGGTATGGTCACAATATTACACAGCACATTACACACAGCATTCACGCGACAGTGTTGAGTATTGTCTTCACGTAACGGTTGGTCTTCGTTCTAGGAAATCTGAAACGACAGGCTGTCTTTCTCGTAGTCAGATCGCCAGAAAAACGTCTGTGTGTCAAATTCTATTCTATTCTATTCATGTAAAATGTCTATATTTTCCCCTTCACATAAGGCATTTTTTGGTATTTCATTGGAGGTGATAATGAAACAAAACGTTAGGAATACAACCGCCTCCGTGCGCGTTTCAACGGCGACTGGCAGCGGCTTCTACTGACTACTGTCCTACCTCCAAGAATGAAATCCCACCAGGTAGTGCCAGAGTTCTACAAACTACCTTTCCGTACCGATTACAGAAAGCAAGTCGCTGTGCCCTGGACGGTCAGCGAACGCATGTAATCGGCACTTAGGGCCCCTTCACAGGCTGCACTCAGCAACGCTTCCGAGTGGCGCGTCTCCTGGGAAAGCATTGGCTTAAAAGGAGGTCTTCACACGAGTAGTCGCTCGGTGGTGAACTCCCGCCTCCCGCAGCGCAGACGCTCGACTGCGCCACCGTCAGCAGAAACCAGTTTTCAATTGCAACGTTCATACCAGACGCGCCAACGAATCGGTTTTTGTCTGCTGCCAGCCTTTCGGCCGCCTGAGCTGGCAGCGGCGCGATTCACGAAACCTTCCTGTCTTGTGGTGAGTGGCGTTCTGAAGGGCTCCGCCGCTTCTCGGTGTGTGTCCCCGTGTGAAGGCATCCTTTAGCGACGTGGAGGGCGGAGGCTCTGCTAGCGACAGCGGCAGCCGCTGCTGGCGCGCTAGCCGGCCTCGTGCAGTCGGCGCGTGTGCGACGCGGGGTGTGGAGCGGGCTCAGCTAGCGGCGCCGGCCGCCGCAGCAGCCGCCACCGCCACGCGCGGCCGAGGCGCGCGAGGGCGCGCGTTGGTCTCTCGCCACGATGCGGCGTCACTCCTCCCGCGGCGCTTGCTCCAGGCGGCGGGGGCAGGGACCGGGCGCGGGGCGGGCGCGGGGGCGGCGCCGGCGGCGTCCGCCTGCGTCTGGAAGAAGGTCGATGATGGGGTGGTCAGCTGTAGTTTGATGCGCTTGCCGTCGGCAGGCGTGGCGCGGGGCGCGGTGGTTCGTGGAGGCTGCCGGCGTGGGCAGCAGGGGATGGCCGGCCGCAGGGGCTGCGACGGTCGCACCGGCGCGGGACGGGCGAGGGCCGGGGCGGGCGTCGGCGCGTCGGCGGCGGGCGTGAGGGTGGAGGTCTGCCTGGGGGAGGGCGGGGGCCGCGCGGGCGGCGGGGGCGAGGGGCGCGGGGGGCGGTGTGGTGCGTGTGCGAAAGGGCGTCGGGAGAATGTGGTTGCGGCGCCGGCGGCGCGGGGCCAGGATGGGCGCGAACGCGCCCACGCTTTGAGATCGGCCTCGACCTGGAACAAGGGCGGAAAGTGACGAGGTGTGACGTTATATTAAAATACTTACGTAATTTCTCGCAATAATTTTGTCAAGAAAAAATAAATGATATTATTAAATAAACTGTGTACTATTGTTATTAATCAAAAATTTACAAACTTTTCCTTAGGATAACATATTTACCTCCTTCTTCACAACAATTAGGTAACATTACTTGCAAAATTACGAAGGCCAGTGTTTAAAATCCGATTTAATTTTTGAAAGGAATGAAATTATAGTGCAACATATAATACACATCCACACAGCCTGGCAAATAAACTATCTACATTTCTACGGAATCAATGATCTGCAAATTTGTCGTTGCCGGAACTCGCGCACTTGCTAGGTGTGGAGCCAAATAGAACTTTAGATTTTTTTTTCTGGCCGAGAATTCTAGCGTGTGAGATGCTCTGATTCGTAGTTTTCCGTGGTTTCTCGACAACCAGGCGAATAGGAAATGGAAGAAGAAGGAAAGATTGCACGAGATACGTGGTTTATTTGGTCAATTACTGCTCTGGCATTTCGGGTGCTATTGATTGGAGAAACTACGGAAAACTACGCCGTCACAGCATAAATTCTTGGCTATCCGGGAGACGCCGCATGTTGGGATGAGAGGCCAACTTGTTGGCGTCTCAGCAACAAACGCGGCGTCTCCCGGATAGCCAACAATGTATGGAATCGAGCCGCCCCGATCAAGAGCAGCCGGCCGCAGATTTCTCCTCCGGACAGCACAGAACTCGACCCAGCTATCTAGCTTGTGTGGAAAACCGTCGGGTCTCGAATCCTAGAGGCTCTCGATCATATGCATTGCAATGACATCAGTTGCTTTGCTCTCATGGGCCTAACCTAGGTGTCTAGACAGTGTCGAAAACCTGCCACGTGGGAAGAGGAAACCAAGAACTTCCCAGTCAGAGGCACTGCAATGACTTCAGTCGATGGCCTGAGCACCTCTTCCGGACTAATCTAGATGTCTAGCTTAGTGCCCAAAATGCTGCCACCGTGGGCAGAGGAAGCCCAGGCCTTTCCAGTCAGAGGCACTGCAGTGACTTCAGTCGATGACTGAGCCACCTCTCCAGGGCCTAACGCTAAGTGTCTAAGC